GTACAGTGAAAAAGGTGTATAGCACTCATAGATCGGTAAGGTTGGTTGAGAAAAGTGATGAGAAACTGAACTCCAACAATGAAAAAAAATTAGAAACTCCTAAGCAAAAATTGTTTACCAAGGAAATGGGTGATAATTTGGATGTGAATCTGACATAGGGGTCAGATGGTATTTTTCTCAAACTTGTTCTAGAATCAACTGCCTTTTATAATATCAAGATTTGTTTTCTAAATCAGCAATAACATTCTACGATTGCAGGTATTCATACGAAAACAATGGCACAGGATAATTTGGAAAGGGAAACGGTTTCTGAAGTTGAGGATCCAAAGTTTTCGATGGAGGGTAGCAAAAACATGGAAAATCAATTAGACTTGATCGATGAAATCCAAGAAAATGATGGTATGTTTACATACAATTTGTTCATTTTACTTTATATCGGGAACAAATGATGATGGAAAGATTGAATTCTTATTCATCAGAATCGGGTGAAATGAATGGATGTACAGACTATAAATAGGTGCCAAGAAAAAGAATATAACTAACTCAACTACCGTCCAGCTGGCAAACTAACACTTTAACTAACCTGCTAACTGACTTCTATACAAAAAAATGTAATTGTTCTAATACTTTATGATACTAGAAAATTTAACTGTTTAAGAAATATACAATTCCAAAGCTTAATAGTATCAAAGTAGTTAACAATTCTGTGACATGAATTAGTAATTTTATCATATTTGTAATGTAGGGTCTCATAGTACAGGTATTTCTGAGCCAGAGAATGCACTTGATATATGGTGTTGAATCAAGATCTGAGGCTGATGATACTGTGGATGATGGCCTTGAATATAATGGTATCCTTTTTGTGCTCGGGCTGTGTCTTTTATGCTTTGTTGAATTCATCTCTATCATTATGAAGCTGATTTTTTGTTGCCTTCTGTATATTTAGATGATTTACAGATGATAAAATTTCTTGCGATACCAAGAGTCAAAATGCAACAGAGAAAGAAACTGAGAATGCGGAAGATATGGATTTCGAAGTTTCCCAGACGTCTTAGTTGATAAAAATTATTATGATGTTGATCCCAAAAAGGAGTCTGATAAGGAACTGAAGGACGAAAAGTACATGAAAAGTATCCCTTTAATGATTCCCCTACTTTTTATTTTACATTATGTAGCCTTATGGCTGATGTCTACCTCATCATGTTTTTCTTAAATGGTTCTATGATTACTTTTTTATTATACTTTAGACCTTTATTGTCATCTAAAACTTGACGTCCTATAGACATCTGACTTGGGAGCCATCAACTTAAAGCTTGCTACAATGGTAATTTAAATATTTTAATACAGAGAAGTCTATTTAGAAAAAAATGATTTAAGTACAACGTACATTGATTAAGCTTCAAGCACTTATTTGAGAAAATTAGACTTCTAACAAGGGATTATTAGCCTAGTTGAGTCTTAAAGGTTGAAACAATAAAAAATACAAAGAATCCTTATTTGTTGAAATGTTGACTCGCAGTTAGTAAGATTCATCTAAACTAAATAGGGTGAGGAGTTTGTATAAAAATTCAATCGTAGATCACACATTGGAGAAAGAGTTAAAAAGAATGCGTTTGGGAGTGTGAATCTTATGAGTGAAGAAAAGATAAATTTGACCATTGAGGGGTGAGAATTAAAACAACTCGTGAATTTATAATGTATCACTAATTTCTTCACACTCACATCATTTTTGTATTTGAGAAGTTGATATTAATTTTGATATTGCGACCATAAAACTATTTATGAATTTAATTCAATGATTCCAATCTTGAGATAAACCGTAGGTTATCTAACTAAAACTTTATAGCATGTTTGTTTGTTAAATTAGATTATGATTTTATTTGAGAACAAACAAATGTTTAAGTTTTGAGGTATTTTTTAAGTGTCCGAGCTTAAAAACACAGACATTTCGTAGTTTTTATTATTATTAATTATTGCCTAATTTATTGTGTTTTTCATTTGTTGGCTGAAAATCGATTATTGAAAGCTAAATTGAAATAAATAAACATAAAAAGGGGATAACTAAAACTTTATAGCATGTTTGTTTGTTAAATTAGATTATGATTTTATTTGAGAACAAACAAATGTTTAAGTTTTGAGGTATTTTTTAAGTGTCCGAGCTTAAAAACACAGACATTTCGTAGTTTTTATTATTATTAATTATTGCCTAATTTATTGTGTTTTTCATTTGTTGGCTGAAAATCGATTATTGAAAGCTAAATTGAAATAAATAAACATAAAAAGGGGAAAAATAGTGAAATATAAACTTTGATGACATAATTGTAATTTTTCAGTGGTTGATTTGAATTGTAAAATGAAGATTGAAGGTGTTATGAGTTCAATTGGATGCAAATTAGAAGTTAAAGGACTAAGATTAGATCATTTTCAAGAGACTCTTTATTTTTAAATAACATATTCTATTATTTGGAGAGCATATATAAATTTAAAGAGTTAAAATTTTAAAGTACTATAACAAGCTCTTTATATTTAACACTTAATTTTGCTATTCTTAAAAAATACTTATTATTTTTTTTCTATTTTTTATTTTAACCAACTTTATCCTAGATTATTTTATTATTTTTCTACATTGAAAATTGAAATACTTTGAATGCATTTAATTATAGAGGGTGAGTTTGGACCAAAACAACACTCTAAATTAAAACGTTAATTTAAAAAGTTTTTTGAAGAATGATTTTAAGAGTTGACTCTTAAAATAGGGAGCACTCTATGTTTAAAGGGTCTCTTGAAAAAATTTAAAAGACTTAAGAATTAGTTTGAGGACCTAATTGTACATCGGCCATAATTACAAATCGGCGGGCTGGCTCAGGAGGTGAACACCGGCTTGCACGCACAAGCGAACCTGGATTACTTCCGCTGCAATTTTCGGCCAGCGATAGAATTCTTCTCCACTTCAGATTTTTAAGCGATTTTCATCCAATTTTTGAGCTCTACAAATACCAAACAACTTTATTCGTCAAGGGAAACCTCTCATAAACCATATTTCATCTGCTATTAGAATAAACGAAAGGCCAAATCATAGAGAATTGAGGGACAATTGAAAAGATTTCAACCAATTAAAGATCAAACCTTGATTTTTTGGTAGAAACAAGAAGAAGGCAATTAGAGTTTCATCCAGACAATTGACGATATTCAAGAGATCAAGATTCATCTTCATTTTCTCCTTCGTCAATCTAAAATTCGAATTTTGTTTTTTCTATTAATTATGATTTCTTTCAATTTTGTAATGTTAGGCTAGGGTTTCAATTATTAAGACATGGACAAACCTTGTTACGATTTTTAATATAAATTCAATAATTTAACGTTCAATATGTGTTTATTCTTGAATGATTGTCATAGAAGTTACTACTTTCCAATTAATTGGCTAATAGTTGGAATATTGTGTGAATTTCATTATTCTTGAGATAGAAAAACTGGATAGATAGCACATTATAACAATGATTATAAAGTTCGATAGGAGATAAAAATATATCGCTATACATTGTATATTTTTATACATGTTAGTGCCTTTTAATGATGCTTACGTGTTTTTATCATTCATAGAGATGTAGAAAGGTTACATGCGATGATATATTTAATTGATATTGAGAGATGCTTTTAATTAACCTAGAAACATTGATCAACAAGAATATACATATATTGCCATGTTATTGAGTTACATTGAAACAGATTAGTAAGACGGATTTGAGGTCTTACTAGTCATCCAATCTAAATTTACAAAACCCATATTCGCTCACTAGAATACTTAGTTTAATTAGATAAATTAGTACAAATTCTTCCCAAAAATAAAAAAAATAAAAAAAATTGCTATTTGATTAGAGTTACAATTGATTGACATTAAATTAAGTACATAGTTATCATGGGAACGATATCCTACCGTACACTTGTGGGAAATTTAAAGATCAGTACACTATTTTTTAAACTTAGCAAAATCTGTGTTAGTTTCTCTCACACCCATATTCTTCATGTTTCTATTTTCTCATGTTCTTGTATAATTTCAATAGTTGACTAGATTATTCGATTACCAACTCTCGACTACTCATTTCTTGGTGCAGTGATCTTGATGCTTAACTGTTCATGTCCAAATGTACAGGCAACATACATATTGAACAAAAGATGGCAATAACCCTATTGATAGCACTGTGGTTTTGTTTTTATTGTCAACAAGAAAAAAAAATTACTATGAAGTTATAAGTAACTGGGAAAAATTATTTTAATTACACAACCAAACTAATCGATAAAATCTTAGATAATTTAGAAATGGACACTAATGAAGAATATTAACAATGTAAGCAACAAACCAAAATTACATTGAAGGCCGGGAGTTCACAATTATGATGTTTGACTATATCTTACTTTATGTTACAGGAAATATGGAGGTGCTTGGAATTTGTGGTACATCATAGTTAAAGTATTCTTTAATATCTATTTTATTACTTTGTTTAGAAAGTTGGGAGGCGCCCAATATTTTTGGTAGCAGAACTTCTTATTGCTTTGTCCAAATAAAGGAGGTTGTGACAAGAAAATTTCCCATGAATATTCTCGTGTTGTGTCTCCTTTCCTACTTCTCCTCATTATCTTCCTCAACAAAATAAATTTGTTGTGGACTCTACCACGTAGTGCACCATCTTGGTACACACACGAATTTGCAATTTATTAAATGAAATCTTGATAAAATATTAATATATAGAAAATTAGTTTGACTCTTGAAAGGTAGAGAGTTAAACCCATATTGTATTTGCAATGGTTAAAATAAAAAGTTTTTTGAAATTTATTTTGAAAGTTTGACTCTTTAAAATAAAAAAATATCTCACTTTTAAATAGCATCTTTAAAATGCTCTTATAATCCATAGATTTCTTGGAATTCGTTGCTCATTTATTATATGAAGATTAAAACGAAACCAGAACTTACGATGCAATGAATGCAGACTAATGCAAATTAATGATGTCAAGAAAATCAGATGGCACTTTATTCGTAAATCATGTATTTTTTTTACGAAATAAATTATTCACGATACATTCTTTTTATTCGGTAAATAAATAATGACTAACAATATTTATAGTTCTTCTACCATGGCGATACTGGTGGAATACTTTGTTCATTCCTGTAGAAATTAGTTGGATCCACCTGACTCTTGACATGAACCAATCTTCTGAAATTATTCTTGAAATACTTAAATCCCCAAACACTTGCTTGTTTGTAGCTCGGATTAACCTCATTATTGTTCATTCCAATATCCAAATCCCTGTAATTGAAATATGCAGCTCTTGGAGATTTTGAAACATAACGAGCCATAAAACTGTAAAGTCCCCGGATCCAGCTTATCTGCCTTTCTGAGTCTGCATTCTCTTCTTCACTCCAGCCTACAACATAATGGATCATGAATATATTGCCTGCTCGATGTGGAAAAGGAATTTCCGATTCTGAGAAGTCGTTTATTCTCCCTCCATATGGACTGAATTGCAGTTCAGCCCTATTTGCATCTTCTTTGTTAAGGAATTTCCATATGCTTTTGAGACCGTTTTCCGGAATTGGTTGCTTCACATAGTCGGATTTTCCTTTGAAAAACGTCGTGGAAACTCCAGTTCTATTCAGCAAAATATCTAGTGATTGACCCTGAAAACCTGCAAAATACACTGTGGACTCTATCCATGGCATTTCTATACAATCTTCTTTCACCAAACCTAATTCTGGAAATTTCTCTTGCATTATTGGGAGGAGATCATCAACCCGACCCAGGTACAGAGAAGTGAAAAATGCTCCTATTGTCCTCTTTCCTGAAGAGTTGATGCTTCTTAGAAAGAGTCTTAATAGAAGATTTTCATCAATATTGTCAGCAACATATTGCCATCTGTGTACTATCTGGGTTGCATTTTGTTCTAACGTTCTTGTAACATTGAAAACAGTCACAGTTTCTGGTATAACAATTAACTGAACTTTAAATGCAACCACAATCCCGAAACTGGTTCCACCACCTCCTCTAATGGCCCAAAAGAGATCTTCTCCCATGGATTTTCGGTCATGAATTCGGCCATTAGCATCAATTAGTTTGGCATCAATGATGTGATCTGCAGCAATGCCATGCTTACGAGACATCATGCCATATCCTCCGCCACTGAAGTGCCCTCCAACACCCACCGTCGGGCAAACGCCTGCAGTGAAAGCAAGAGTCCTGCTATTTTCAGCAATTGTGTAATAAAGTTCACCAAGTGTTGCACCTGTTTGAACCCATGCAGTGTTTTTTTCTGTGTCCACGGATATTGATCTTAGGTTTCTCATATCCACAATGACAAAAGGAGTTTCAGAAATGTATGAAAGTCCTTCATAATCATGTCCACCGCTTCGCACTTTTAGCTGCATCCCAAGTTTCTTTGAGCAATAAATAGCTGCCTGAATTTCGGATTCATGCTCCGGCGTAATGATCACGAAAGGTCTCTGGCCGGAGTTTGATGCCGGCCTTAGATTACGTATTGTAGATTGGAGAACAGATGAATATGATGCATTTTTTGGGGTGTAAATGGAATCAGTTTCTGAGTTGGATTTTCGATACTGAAGGGTAAGGCATTCAAAAAAATCATTTTTGTTATGAGCAGAAGAAGCTCCCGAAATAAAAATGAATGCCAAAAGAAAAACTGGGAATATACTACTTGAAATCTGCATACTTTATAATTGTTGTTTCTTCTAATTTGTAATTGATTTACAAATGCTTGTATTTATAGATGTTTATCAATGACTTTTCTGGTTGAGTGTGAAAATGAATTTTGAATTATTAGGCATCATGGATATTATATAATTTGACAACTCAAAAGTTTCAGTAAAGGAGATTCAACCAAGCTGTCAAAACAAGAAAAAATAAAACCTCAAGTTGTAAACGTTTTTGAAGGCAATCCTTTTGCGTAATATCTATAGCACAAGTTGAAAATATATTAACACAAAGAAGTTTTAAAAAAAATGATCACTTTCTTGTCCAAGAAAGTTTCAACTTATTGAATAAATTAATATTCTTTAATTATCATAAATATTTTGTTGCATGCATGAATCGTGTATCTTGTAAATCTTCAAGGATGTAACTTGTGGAACAAGTAGGTAAATATAATAATTTTATATTCATACAGGATAATTCATGAGGATAGAGCAATCATCTAACAAATATTTTATCTCGAACATCCTACACCATAGGGTTAACGTGGGTGATTCTATGATATAATCTAAAGAATTATAATATTGAGCATCATTTGTATTTGACATCAATTTAAATAATAATACTTGCGAAATTAAATTACAGGTTCAATTGATCACTACGAGTATTTATGGACTAGATAATAGAACCTACAATACACTCTCCTAGATTCATTTTAAAACTATTGGTGCTAGATAGCTTTATTCTAATCTAAATAAATGAAAGAAGGATAGTTGCTTTTTTATTTATTTTTAATATTTTTTTGATTCTAATTAATCGTTTATTAGGAGAAATTAAGTCTTGCTCAATAGTAATTAAAATTTAGATTTTAATATAAATCAAGTCAATAATTATTTAACCACATATTTTATGAAACCAAAAACTATTCAATCCCATATTTAATCAATTTTTATCAAATCTACTAAAAAATCGATTTTAATTCCTACAAAAAAAAAAAAGGTTAGGTCTTTTGTTCAATAGAGGGTTTTTCGGTGATTTTAGTATCTAGCTCCTGTTTGATTCCCATTTTTTAAATTTATTTTTTCTTAAATTCATTTTTAACCACTCATTCTCTCAGTAAAATAATTTTAGGCATAAACTCAATTTTTTTTCCTACTTTTGAATCCACCTACTCCAAAAAATCATTATTATAAAACTCATTTTAAAAGGAGGGGGGGGGGGGGCTTCAACATTGCCTTAAAGTGCCATTACAGATTATTATTATTATTATTTTTTATTCTTTTATCTTTTTCATTTCGATGGTTATTTATTGAAGATATATAATTGAAGATTTTTTCTCAATTCCCACTACGTGTATCTGATGCGATGGAGAATGAATTAGACTTTATGAAAAAATGGGACCGACGCAGGTAGAAAGGGATCCAACTTCCTGATTTTTGGAGAAATGTTGGGATTGTCCCTTTTTGGCAAAAAAATTAGTTATATTTGACTGGAAACGGGCCAATGAACAAAACTCAAGAGCTTTTGAGCCATTATTTGTCTCTTGAAATCTATCCATATTTGGTCAAATAACCTTTCATCCAGATTTCGTACACTACTAAAAAACATCTTTCACTGATGAATAATTACCAAAAGATTACAAATTAGAATCGGATTATCCGTTGACAAAAGTAATAGAATTTCATTCAATAATGGATTTTTTATTGGCAAAGGTGATAGTTCTTACCAACGAATATTTCGTGATCATTGTAGTCGTTTAATACTTGAATCTTTAATCTATGCATATTCCGTGGTGATGTAAATTAATTTCTTCAGAAAAAACTGATTTCAAACTTTTACTTATGGAGATTCCATATTTGAATATAAATTCATATAAACTATGCAAAATTTTGATATTAATTAATTTTATTAATTAAGAATTTTAACCATTCACCTACCGAATTGAAGTGTAATCAATTTCCAAAATAACAAAAAATAAAAAAAATCAACATCTTCACCAATGGATATTTCGTAGGTGAAGAGTAATTTATATTACTTAAGCAAAATTCACTGCTGATATTTAGCCCACCAAAAATGCGTTGATCAATTTTTAAAATGATAAAAGGTTCCAACTACTAGGAACTGATAGTTAATTGCTTAAGGAATTGTTGCAAATAAAAATAATTTATTAACGTTCGAATTTTCTACCTGCGAAGTAATTCAATTGCAAATAAAAATATGAATTTAGTTGTTATTACCTACTAAATTCCCATAAGTATTGATTCCTAATTGCAATGGAAATCATGGTTTCATCAACAAAAAATTCATTCCTAAAGCCACCTTTTGTTTAGTGCCTAAAAGTATTATTCACTTATCTATTACTTATTTTTATTTATTCGTAGTTTGAATGATTATAAACATTTCAAATTTTTTTTTGGTTTAAGGTTTGAATTTAGACGATGAACCCATTCCCGGTCAAAAAAATTATCCTTTTAGAGGAGAAGGCAAAAATGGTTTCTAAATTGAAAAATGTTTCTAATTCACGTTTGTTGTCACTAGATTATGAAAATTGTGAGAATGAATCTGATTTGCATTTATTGAAAATTCTCTTTCCAACATAAGGTGGTTGAACGAATGAAATCACATGATGTTTCAGTCTTTTGTCGAAATCCAAAAGCACATATATATAGATATGGAAAGGAAATTCTAAGATCGTAATTATTTGATAAACAACTTATAAGCCGCCCAATGATTTGGATTACTCTAAGCAAGAATTCAATGACTGTAATTATTTGATAAACAACTTATAAGCCGCCCAATGATTTGGATTATTCTAAGCAAGAAAAGTAAGTTTATATATAAAATGATCATTGTCAAGTGATTGCAGATTTATGAGAAAATCCTCGGATCAATTTCAACAATGGCTGCCGTTCTCCATAAGCCCAATTACTTATTCTCGAAGCTATTTGGTTTGACAAACATTATCAATGGAATTTCTTTCGAACATGTTTAAAGATGTAAAATATATATTTTTTAAGAATTCATGAAAGTTACTTTTGTCTAATGTTTCAAGTCACTCTAGTTAGTGTTTGTTTAGGAGAAATTATTTGAAGTGAAAAAATAATTTTTTGGAGAATTTATGGTAAAAATTTGAAGATAATTGTGAGTACACGTACAAAATTATTTTATTGAATAAATGTGCAATTGAAAATGAGTTTGAGGAAGTTGATTTTTAAATAAGCTATGTCAAACAAATCCTAAATTAAAAAAATTAATTTCTTCAACCATGTGCTGACGGTATATTTTTTAGTCTAACTACTGATTTATAATATCATTTTCAGTACGTATAAAATGTCACAACATGTGCAACGTGTAATGATGTAATATGTGTAGCTTAAGTTAAGAACTATGAACCTAATATAATTGTGTTATGGGCCTACTTTTAATTTTTTTTGGTTTATTAGTTTTATTTGTAATTTTTTTTCATAACTGTAATATTCAGGTTTATTTATTATTTTAATTTGAATTAGCCAAAAAATTTGTGGTTGGTTGTCGTATGAGATACAGGACATAAGGAGCCAACTTGTTTACTGTTGGTTTGGATGTTGATATAATATATTTTGAAAAATGTTTGTTGTACATTAACATCTATATAATTTTTTATAGATTGATGAGGCGTCAAAAAAGTGAGGAGATTTTTTTATTTTTTATTTTTTATTTAGTTGATGAGATTTCCATCCAATCAAATCTTGCACTATAAGCTGATTTGTAAATTGTAATATACATATAGCACTACCGATATAGGTTATAGTGATAAAATAAAATTTTATAATAAATAAATTGTGATTTTATTTATGTATTGTATTTATTTGATATTACACATGCTAATAAAAGTGCCTATGATTACTAGTAATAGTATAAGTTTGGTGCTTGTGTTGTGAAGTACAATATTCGATATTGAATAATTTATTTACAACTAAGCCCTATATGGGCTCCATTAAAATGTAATTTTGGAGAAAAATATATTTTGGGATAGTTATTTTTAAAAAAGTGTGGTTTAAAAAAAAAATATTGAGTTTACATGTAATATTATTCTATTGGAGAACATGTAGTCAAAAAGATGAGAGAGAGAGAGAAACACAATTTGTAAATGATGGTGCGCAAATTTACATGGGTTGACACCTTGCACTAAAAAGGTGTAATATTAATTATTTCAATATTCGGATTTACAATTTGTCCTTAATATTATTGAAGTAGTTAAAAGTGACATTAGTATATTTGGAGGATATTAAATGAACCATTTGTCAAATTTAATTCTGAATATTTGATAGAATTGTATATATCTTTCCATGACTTTGATGATTATTTTATTCAACAATTGGTGAGATCAATTTAATTTGTCAAATATCTCAATGACTTTGGAGTTTGAGAATGAGAGAAGCAGAGAACACGAATTCGTATCGAAAATCATCGCCTTGAATAAAGGGTATAGTGACTATTTTAGTGCTTCTTTTGATCAATTAGAAATCTAAACTCAATATTTAGCGACAGTTAGACTTTGACATCTATGATTAGTTCACTTAATCATTGAAGAAAAATAGTAATGAAGTTAGTTAGAATAATAGAACAATAAATGATCATTTATATTCATACCTAATTATCGGATCTTATGCAAGGATAAGATACATATTCGGTAGGTTAGAGAAAATTATGACAAACTTGCTATCTTTGTCATCTAATTTATTATGAGAGTGCGGTAATTTACCTTTAATAAAATAAAATTATTAAACGCTAATAATTAGATAATGTGATATATGGTCAGCAAGATATGATTTAATTATTGGAACTTGGCTAATATACGTTGGATCAAGTCCCCATGATAGTTCTACAAAGTATTGAAATTTAATTACAATTACCTTAAAAGTTTTGTGATCATTCAAATTAAATTCTAGAACTACACTTGTAATTAAATAAGTGATGCATTAATTGGATTTGGAATCAATTGAACTTCTATTTGGATTTCATTTGGAACTCTTATTTGATCTATATTTAAAATTATTATTGTACATGAATTGAT